TTGACCAATGGTCGTTTAAATTCTCCATTCGAGGTCTTGACGGTAGCGACACGACTCACTCCATCAGGACCCGGGTGGATTTCGATGATGCGTCCCATTCGCCAATGCAGCGGAGGAGCATTTTCTTCTTTTATAAGTACAATAGTACCTAACAGAGGGGTTACAGGAGTGACATTCCACTTACTGCGCTGGCGAAGGGTATGCAAATATTCTTTGGACCAACGAGTCCAGAAGTCCTGATGGAGTCGCTGAATAAGTTGCCATCTACTCAGCCGGTTCAATTTCAAATGCTGAAGATTTTCATCTGGTATTGAATTCAATGGCTCGAGAGTCAGAAAGTGGCCAGGCGTGAGAACCGACAAATCATTTGGATCTGTGCTTACAGCGCAAAGCGGGCGTGAATTGAGGACTGCCTCTATTTGGATGACAAGGGTGTTCAACTCTTCGTATGTCAAGAGCTGCTCCCCTATTACTCTGGAAATATGTGTTTTGACTGATTTCACCCCTGCTTCCCACAATCCACCAAAATGAGGGCTGGAAGGGGGGTTGAAGTGCCAGTTCAAATTTTCTTTACATGCAGCAGCCTGCATCATTTGAGAGAGTTCCCTAGCAGCCCCAACAAAATTAGTGCCACAGTCGCTGAATATATATGTACAGCGACCACGCCGAGCAAGAAACCGTCTCAGAGCAGCCATGAAGGCGACGGAAGTGAGGTCTGATACAAGTTCTAACTGTAGAGCTTTTGTGGCGAAGCAAACGAAAACACTGATGTAAGCTTTCAGTTTTTTTGAGGCTTTAACCTTAGCGGCTGTTATCCAAACTCTCATGTACCTACTAAACATTTTGTTTATGAGATATACATATATTCACAGAGTGCAAAACATAGTAAATAATAAATGAATACAGTCCATTGATTCGTAGAAGATAAACAGTGTATGAATGGTTTCATCATGAATAGCTTCAAAAGATAATGGTCTCCAAGCTAGATATCCGCATATAATATATACTTATTTTATATGAATTTCCTAATGGTGCACCTCCAGCGTTTTTTATTTGACGTCATCTGAAGTGTCAGAATATTGTAAGTATTCCTCATAATATGATCTTCAATACATCCTCATGGAGATGATCGGCTTCATGAACGAAGTGTGACCATCCCAAGCAGTACAAAAATCTCATATTATAATATCAAACTGATTTTGAATTGTTAATCGAAATAGTAGATGATAAACCTCGAGATAAAAATATCTCTACTATAATTTTCAACCTTGAAAATGTTGTCAACATCGCCCAAAATACCCGGATATCACATTCCTCATATTCAGAAGTCCAATATATCAAAATGTCACTGCATTTGATTTTTATTCTATCATTTTTAACAAGTTCCAGGGATAGATGAAATGCGCATTGACCACATGAGTATTTAGTTTCTCGGTCTCAACTTCCCGAGCAGACACAACACTGTCCAGTTGCTTTAGGACGTTTGACCATTTGGTATTTCAGATTTTCCAGCCATTTTCGAAATTTCCACATGTAACTCCCTTGGAAAATGTTGATTGTCATTACTGTGAACCATTTGCTTGGTAATAAACTCCATCCCTGCAGATTTCAAAAAATCGTTGTTCTCTTTCATTGACAGTCATCTTTTTACGATTCTGTGGACCAAGACAGATTAGCTTAGGTTAGGTTCCATGTGAGTGGGGCGAACACCTCCCCTCCACTGCGACCCCAGATGGGTTTATTGTGGCTCACCCCTAGAGGTTACAGTTCACCGTACAATCCACATCTTTTTACAAAGTTCATGGTTGAATTGGGTGAGATTTGTCTGAAATCGATAGGTTCTAGGTTGGTAAAGCCAAATGTGTCGAACCTTAGTCTTTCTAAGCTAGAGCATGAACATAATATGTGTTCAGCCGTTTCGTCTTCCACACAACAGAACCGACAGTCCGTTTGTTGGTTCAGACCCATCCTTCCCAGGTGGTATCTTAGACGACAGTGTCCCGTAAGCAGTCCAGTCAAAATTCGCAGGTTACCCCTGCTCCATTCTAGGATCTGCCTGGTTATTTTTTCCGATGGTTTAGGCAGGAACGCCTTCGAATGGGTTAATCCTGGTAATTCGGACCAGTACGTGAGTGTTTTTCCCTCCGCCCAGCCCGAGATAGTTGTTTTCGCCGCACTTGCGGTGACCCCAAAATATGGTTCTGGTCCTATGAACACAGATTCGATTCCCTGTTTGGTGAGGATGTCGGCTTTCTCGTTACCCTCCACCCCCTGGTATCCAGGCACCCACAGCAAAGTGACTCTGTTGTTAGCACCCAGGCTTTCCAGGGATTCAATGCAGCTCCATACAAGCTTGGAATTTATCTTGCTGGAGCTCAGTGCTTTAAGAGCAGCCTGACTGTCTGATACAATACTGATATTTTTGTTTACTAGAGGTTTATTCGACAACTCTCTAGCACACAATGCAATTGCGAATACCTCCGCCTGAAAGATTGTAGCATATTTGCCGAGATTGACGGAAATTTCCGTCTTCGGTTTTCTGCTGAACACACCGGCTCCCACTCCACGAGGGGTTTTCGAACTATCTGTGTACATTACGTGTTCGGTCTCTGGGAATCGGATTGATCCGCTTGCCCATTCGTCTCTCTTCGGGAAGAGGACTTTGAAAGACTTTTTCACGTGTGTCTGAGTGGCCAACATGTCGGAAACCATTCCTAGAGTTTGGTGATTTTTTGTTTCACACAGTATCTCGGAGTGGTCCAGCAGTCGCCCCCCTCTGATTTGATTCTCCAATGACAGGAATCTGTAGGAAACCATCCTGGCTTTCCTCTCCAAGACAATGTGGAGGGGAGTGAGGTTCAGGAGGTTTTCCATCGCTGCCGTTGGAGTAGAGGACATCGCCCCTGTAATGGCCAGGCACGCCAGCCGCTGGAGACCAGCAAGCTTTGCCCTGGCTGTTCCCTGCAGACCTTTAGTCCACCAGACTACCGAGCCATACGTGACCATTGGTTTTACCATTGTTTGGTAAATCCAGTAAATCTGTTTGGGGTTCATTCCCCATGATTTGCCGCATACCCTTCTGAGGTTCCAGAGGGAAAATCTGGCTTTGTTAATAGTTTTTGCCATATGGGCGTTCCAGGTGAGTCTTTTATCTAGGGTGACCCCTAGATATTTCACCTCCGTCGCAAACGGAATGCTCTCTCCATATAGGACAGGCTGACGAAGCTTATCTAGCTTTTGCCTTTTGGTAAAAGGGATGATTACAGTTTTCCGGGGGTTCACAGACATCTGCTCCCTCTCGCACCATCTGTACACAGTATTGAGGGCTTCTTGTAGGCCGTGTAGAGTGATTGTGGTAGGGCGTTATTGAACGCTCCTTCTATGTCTAGGAAGGCTGCCAGCGCAATTTCCTTATGATCTAAGGAATGGCTGATCTTTCCTACAAGATTGTTCAGTGCTAAATCCGTTGATTTGCCTGTTTGGTAGGCATATTGATGGGGATTTAGGGGATGCTCCCTCAGATTCCCCTCTCTAACATGCCTGTCTAGAATTCTTTCTAGAGTTTTTAATAGGAACGAGGTAAGGCTGATCGGTCGGAAGGATTTGGGTAGGGAATGATTCGCCGTACCCGATTTGTGTATATACACAACCCTCGCTGTTGACCAGCCTAACGGAATGTAGCTCCACGCCAAACTCGCTCTATATAATTTAACCAGGAGATGTAGTAAAACTTCTCTACCCTTTTGTAAGAGGGCAGGAAAAACTCCGTCCTCTCCCGGAGACTTGAATGGGGAGAAACAATTCACCGCCCATTCCACTGACTCTGGGGTGACCACCATTGAGGCATTCTTCCAGTCCTCCTTTTTTGGTCGTATTATCGATCCCATTGAAAGTGGAATCTGCTGACGGTCCTCCAGGAGCAGGCTGCCGGGAAAGTGAGTCCGTAGAAGAACCTCCAACGTTTGCCTAACAGAGTCCGTAAAAGAGCCATCCGGTCGTTTTATCGAGCCGATCTCTTGGGTCGGATCTCTGGCGAGAGCCTTGAGAATTCTCATGCTGGCAGGTACATCTGATATACTCTGACAGAATCTCCTCCAAGAGTCTCTTTTGGCTTTCCTTATTCCTTTGTTATAAGCCGTTAGAGATGTGCGGTAAGTGTCCCAGCACCCTGCATCTTTAGCTCGATCGAAGAGACGTCGAACTTCTTGCCTTTTTTTGTCCAGGCTCTTGCTCCACCAGGGTGTACCTCTGTGGTCTTTCTTCTCCTTTAGTGGGCAGTTGTCCTGATAGGCCGTTAGAATTGCGGTTGCTATCCGCTCATTCGCCACTTCGATTTCGGCACTATTTTTTATAGTACTGATTCTGGGATCAAGGTGCTTCTGGAGAGATTCACAGTAACTATTCCAGTCTGTGCACTTAGGATCACGAAATTGTACTATTGGTCGGTGTCCTGTTCTCACATCAAATCGTATATGTCTTTGATCTGAACATGAGGGCTCCGTAGATACTTGCCAATTAACGATCTTCGTACTCATAAATTGTGTACTGATTTTTAAGTCTAAAACCTCTCCGCGAATTCTGTTCACGAAAATTGGCTCCCAGCCCACGTTATTCTCGACTAGCCCTTCACCTATTATATAGTTATATAGGTACTCACCTCTTTCATTGATGTTGCTACTTCCCCAGTCCAAATGGTGGGCATTTGCATCACATCCAATGATCAGTTGCCTGTTTTTCCTCTTGCAGAAGGCGATTAGCTCTCGCACTGCTGCTGGAGGAGGATGTGGAGAGTCTCTGCTGCCTCATGGAGTAGTTGTCTGTCTGTGTGGTGCGAACAAAAAGGCTTTTAACTATCGAACGCGTGCGTCTACAATCTTGAAAATTTGCACAATCCTTACACTAGTGACCTAGTTGCGATTGTTGTGTTTTTGGTGGAAAAAGAATCAAATATCTCCGTAAGTCATATATATTTCTTTCTCATTTTCCTCCAACACGCTAACATGTCTAGAAATGTCAGGAAGGGAGAAGAAGAACTGCTCTCAGCAGTTAAAAATGTAGTCGGTAAATTGTGCTCCTCTGAAGAATTCATTAATAATTTGGCACAAATAATAAGTGAAACAATAAGTGAGAAGTTCTACAAAGAAATCGATGCATTGAAAGAAGAAAACAAAAAGAATGTAGAAAAAATAAGCAAGCAACAAAGCATAATTGACTCGTTGATAGATAAACAGGAGAGGTTCGATAAACAACTGCGACGTAATAACATAATATTCCATGGAATTCAAGAAAAACCTAATGAAAATTGTTCGCAACTTGTTCTTGATACAATACTGGACAAAATGAAGATAAACTATGTGGGAAAAGATGTCATAGAAAATACCTATCGCATTGGAAAATATGATAAAAATAAAGCCCGGCCGATTATGGTAAAATTTACTACAGCTAGTCACAAGAATATGATTTTCCGCAATAAAAAGTTGATGAAGAATACAGGCATCATCCTGAGAGAAGATATCACCCCTGAGCAGCTCAAGATATTCAAGGCAGCCTTACTAAAAGTTGGTAAAAATGGCAAGATATGGACAAATCTTGGTGTAATATTCGCCAAATACAATGACGAGGAGTCCATTATCAAAATACATTCCATGCTAGACGTAGACATGCTTTGAAAGTGTTATTTTTCTCTCCTCTTTATTGTTGTGCATTGGTTCATATATCTACTTATGTTATTATACAATATTATGGTCATGCTAAAAGTAATTATTGGTTTGATTTTGTTTTCGCACTAGTGCAGATTGTATACACTACAGCACTTACTTTTTACTCAGTTCTTCTGATAAGTTTCAATCAGCTTATTTTCTTATCTCAAATAGAATAAAAACGCTTGAAGGTATTCGTTTCTTTCTATTCTTTGTTTTTTTTTCTTTACTTATTCGTCTCTTATTCAATGCAATGTTTGATCTTAAATTTGGTTGTTTGAATGTGAGATCTTTGTTGCCGTGTTTGAATGAAATAAAAATTCTACTGTCAGTTCAGAATTACGATGTATTTTTAATTTGTGAAACTTGGTTGAGGAGGGAAATCAATGATGATATAGTTAGTATTAATAATTATAAAATATACAGGGCGGACAGAAATTGTAGGGGCGGTGGTCTATGTATATACATTAAAACTAATTTGAAAAGTGAATCATTCGATATTAGTAGATATGCTATAGGGCTATGAGGACAAGATCCCATGTATTTCCTTATGAAGGTTCATTCTGGTCAAAACTGAACATTTCTAGGGCAGGTGGGCAATCTTGGCGGCTGACGGTACGACGGGTGATATGAGTGGGCGGGGCAATATATCGATCTCACCGAGGATGTCTCCGAGAGGATGTTGGACATAATATATTATGATACTTCGACTTGGGAGGGTAATCGGTGCTTCAACAGAACATGTCTTTCTGAACGATCGCGGCTATTTATCAAATAAGTATGAGAAGCGTAGTACACCATCGGATATTTTTTTATTGATTATATAAATATTCTCTTTTGGAGTTTGATAATAAAGCAACAAATACAAAATATCTGGCTATAGGTACTAAATGAAGTATGCATGTAATGAATGTAATGAAGGAGGGGCATATAGTACTCTATCGGATATTTTTTTATCGATTTTAGTATCGAGGGTAGCTCAAATTTCTGTATATATTTTCTTTCGAAGTTTGGTAATGAATCGATGGATACAGGATGGATAAAGGTACTACATGGAGTATGCATGTACTAATAAAAACACTATATTCATATCATTAAATATATATTCATTCAGAAATGGAGCAACTAATACAGTTTGTGGATTCATACAACTCGCATATCTACAGATTATAATATAATCAAAGGATATCTATATACATACAATGCAATGAATATACACGAATTTTCGTGAGAAATACCTAACATAGGATCTTAATTATGACATGGGAATGTAATATATAGGAATAAGAAATAGATTCCATTGTATGATATAATTATTAATAAATCAAAAACAATGTGAATGACTATACAAATGAATATGGAAAATACAATATGAGTGTGCACAAATAGCGGTATGAATAGATGGCAATATCGGAAAATGTCTGACTTAAATAATGAAATATGTTTACATATACTTGGTTCGATAAGAACGAATTCGATAATTGCAGCCAATTTGATGCAACTGACTTACATGATATATTACAGAACATATTATCTCGATGAATGTTCATAGATTTTTATTCGGATAATAAACGCTACATTGCGATATATTACTAAAACCTAATATAACAAGAAGATCAATATCAACGAATACACATTAAAATATGATATGATTCAATTGTATATCACTCCTATGATAATTTAGCTGAACATCACCTACTTACATTCAATTTCATCGTCACAACCAGATTATTCACAAGCGTTTTTTATTATACCTACCATATACAGTTTTTCATATATTCATTATAGCATAGTGACCCCAAGGGAGGGAATCAGATGAATCCTTGATGAGATATCTCTTATCGTCATGAGGACTTAGCGCAATTTTCTGCTGTGTCGTAGAATAAACAATATGTTTGTTAGCTCTAATCAGGTTTTGATGAACTTTTTTCTCGACAGAATTCCTCAAACAGTGGATATAATCTTCAAATGTTATTTTAGTTCTGACTACAGACCTTTTGATACCTTTAGCTCTTTTGGTTGTACCAATATTCGAGAGAGTCACACCAATTTTAGCTATATCATAACCCTCTTCATCTAGTTTTCTTTGCTCATCCACCGGCGCCTTTTCATCAGTTTTGAGTAATTTGAATGTATATTGCTTTGATCCCAAACCAACAAAATCTGTAATAATTTCTCCATTGCATTCATCTTTGAACATTCCTAATACTTTTTTGTTGACACGAGGTATATCATATCTATTATTTGATATATAATCAGATGTATCGAAATGATGATGACAGTCTCGTCGAATTACTTCATATACGTCTTTGTTGCGAATTTCATAAATAAGTGAGTCAGTGTCGGTATATAGTACAGAACAATCGTCGCCAAATTCATCGCACATATAGCCATAATGGAAATCATATATCGTTGTTTTAGCAATATCAAGTATACACATACCCACATATATTGGTTTGTTGAAATAAATCTCTGTTTTATTCAACTCGATGGCGACCAAATTCTCCGAGAATATTGTTGATGATTTGAATTCTGGTTTTGAAATCAACGCTTCAGCCGCATAACGTCCCGCCCATTTACTTACCAATTTTACGTTAGAATGTTTCCGTATATTTTCCATTGTTTTACCAAAGACAGCGTTATTCATAAGCTTGAATAAATTCTTCTTAAATTCATTTTTAGCGTGTTGTCTGTGGTACGTATTTAAGTCAATATATGATTTTAACCAAGCGGCCTGATCAAAAGCGATCATCCGATGAATTTTTGTTAGGATGAGCCCATTATCTAATGCCTGCTTCAAGTTCCGATAGTGTATAACATACTTCTCCTTATCATATACTGTGGTCAGGAGTTTCTGTTCTCTACAGCCAGAGGCGCAAAGATGTTCCGGACAAAAGGGTAAATCTCTATGTCTGTCATGCAGTTCTCGCGGATAATGGAGGTCAACTTCTAATATATAACCAACATCACTATTATCTGATATTGAGGTGACATCAAAATTTTCGACGTTCTCTTCCCATTTGAAATTACCCGTCAGCAGGTATTGGGACATTGCCCACCCATACTGATTATTGACATCAAAATACATAAGGTATGAATCTTGCAATGTTGGATCAAAATCGGGCATATATTTATTATTAGCATGACTATATCTTTTGGAAACACCACTGAAACCGCCTCGTATTCCACGTTCAAAGAACATTAATTGATCTATATCAGTTAGCAATTCTAAATTTATCCCAGTATGTTTTAGCATGCAATCCCAAGTGAAGCCAGGGAGAGTATAGTAATGCGCAGGATCGAGTCCATATGTGCCATGACAGCAGTAGTAAAGATTGGCCGGTTCTGGCTCTCCGCCCTAGGTCACCGTCCTCCGACCTTGGGCGGAGTGACCTTGGGCGGGAGTGACCTTGAACGGGTCTGACCTTGGGCGGGAGTAACCTCGTATAGTGAAGTGTCGACAGCACGCCCTTGAACGCGGAGGTGACCTTGAGGGCGAGACAAAGTGACCTTGAAGGAAGGTTGTACGAGTAACCTTCGCATATGTGACCTTGGGAACGAGTGACCTTGAGTTGTAGAGAGAGAGAGAGAGAGAGACCTCGACATTGGAGAGGGAGGTGAAAGTGTGTGCGACCTTGAAAATGGGAGTAGGCTGGTCGAGGTCGTTTTGGTAGAAGTGGGGTGCTGTGTTACGTCATGACTCCCTCCTATATAAACCCAATAGTTGTGTCCATGAGAGCACAGTTCTCTCTCAATACTTTCATCAAACATCAAGTTGAATAGTTCTTCGTGAGCGATAAATCATCTAAACAAAATGTTAGTTTGCAGTGTGTGCGCTAAACCTTTCACACGTAGTGACAATCTACGACGTCATCAAAGGGTTGCATGTGTGGGAAATTTCAACCCATCTATTGCAAAGAAGCCTCGACTGGAAGATGGCACTCAACAAGCAGCAACTTCTGCAAATGTGCAGACATGTACTGTTTGCAATAAGACCATTCCAACCGATAAAATGGGTGCGCATAAAAGGACATTGGAGCATCGGACAAACGCTTGCGTCAATTATAGGGACGGAGTATATGTGATTGAAAATGCGTTCAAATGCCGCATTGTGAGCTATCGATTGGAATGCAGAACTGATGTATTGGATTACAATACGTTTTTTAATGAAAATAAGGCAACCATTATATCTTTATTGGATAATATGATCTCGATTCACCACTCCATCAAGGTGAATATGGAAGTGTTTGGAAGATACATTTTACAATCCCAAGATCTTCATGACATCAAATCCTTCATGACGCCAAATCACATCATGGATTCATCGCTGGATTTGGAGGCCGTGGTTGACACATTCAAGGACATCTTATTGAATCAAACGACCGAATTCGAGGAGCGTGATTCTGGTGAGTTGGTATCATTTTTGAAATATTTCTGATCATTAACAGATGTTACTATTGTTATAGTTTGGGCTTTAGAAAAAATCATGTTCCTGGAAATCAATATCAACAAGTACAGCCCTCTGCGTGGATGCTCTTACATGAAGCTACCAAGCTTCATAGAGAATAAAAAGGCCGTTGTAAACATAGTGAATCAGGACGAGTGCTGTTTCGCTTGGGCTGTGACGTCTGCACTGTATCCGGCAAGAGCTAATGTTTGCGAAACCTCTTCATATCCGCACTATTCTACAGTTCTGAATTTGGTGGGTATAGAGTTCCCTGTTAAAGTGAGTAGCATTCCAAAATTCGAAATTCTCAATGATTGTTCCATCAACGTTTACGGGTTAGAGAGTGTATTTGAAGATCATCAAGTGAAATATCATGTAGTCGGCCCACTGTATTACTCCAAGAAAAGAATGAGTAAACATGTGAATTTACTTTTGACCACAGATGATGAAACTGGAAATAGCCACTATTGCTGGATAAAGAATTTATCAAGGCTGGTATCTAGCCAGATATCTGCCAAAGCGC